TGAGAAGTAGTAGGCAGTTAAAGAGAGGAAGGAGAAGGGGGGCGGGAGAGCTAACGTGAACATGCACATTGGTGAAAAATAAAGAGTGAATTTTGAAAATGAAAATAAATGCGAATGGGGGAAATCGGATGAGGAGAGGGGAATGCCAGGAGTTTCGATTTGGGGAAGGAAGAAGGGAATGAAGTCCGATGCACCACAACAGACTCATGAACAAGAGCGGTCGCTGGCTGCAGTCAGCATGCTGCTTCGAGAATAACGCTTCATGGCAGATTTGCGCGGTGCACATGGCGATCATGTAGGGCAAGGCCAATCACTGCTGGCCAACCAGCACCAAGGCCGGGTGCTGGGGGCGGCGGCTGGGGCAGCCGGGGGCGGCCGGAGCGGCCGGAGCCGCCGGCCGGAGGCGGCGGGGGGGCGGCCGGGGCGGCCGCGGACCGGCTCCCCTCTGAACCCTGCTGCGTCGCGACTGGTCGTCGTGCTCGCGGACATACAGCAGGGAGCAGGGCTTGTTTCGACCCCGATCGCGATGTGACGGGCTGAGACGTATTGGCGGGCGGCTCGGCTGGGTGTCTGCGGAGCCCGCTGAACGGAGCGCGGCTCCAGCGGCAGCGGCGAGGCACCTAGCGAGGCGCACCTGACGTACCCGTCCCGTCCTCGAGCCGGAAGCAGGGGGTCCGTAACGCAAAAGAGCGGTGCAGTCACATTTTAGGCAAATCTTTGATATCCCAATCGGTGCTTCAAAAGTTTCTTCAAATAGCGTTTGCGACAAAACTGTATGGATTCGTACAACGCAATTACCCGGAAGACTAGAAGGTGTCGCGACATAGGTCGTCTAGTTTTGGGGGGGCATACTCAGCAGTCTTATTGCAAATATGACTTAAATACGCTTAAATATATACTTTTAAAGCACCAACTGGGCTATCAAACATGCCCGAGTACGTCACGATTTCTGACTTTGTCTACAAGATGTTTTCGAAAAAGTTGTTTAACGTATGTTTGCGTTACGGACCCCTGGCCTCGCAGTGGCATTGGTGTCGACGCCCCCTTACTCCAATTGGACGGACGGCCGCCGGTGTTTTCCTCCTAAGCCCGCGGTTTGGCTGACGACGACAGTGACGTTTGGGCGGAATACCCTATCCCTATTGCTGACTGACGCTCCCGACGGTCAGAGGGAAAAGCACTGCGTGCCCTACGCCGAACCGCCAAGGGAGGTTACACTGTGAAAAATATCTTCGTAAATTTAGGACATGTTTTGTAATCCCTAATATTTACAAAATATGCTGTAAATTTATGACACCTGCTCAAACTTGCGCGTCGATGAACTCCAAGTCGAGACATGGTGTGCTTGTAAAGTTTACAATTTTGAGTTGTAATTTTGCGACACTCTTCAATTTTTCCGCAAAACCCACAACTATGTTTCGCAGTGTTACAACGCGCACCCAGCGTTCGCCGCAAAACCGCAGAATGACATTAATTGTCATCACTAGTCAAAATTAGTCATCTTCTTGACTGAAATGACATTTTTTGACATAGTCTCTGACAGTCAAGATGACTAAATTTTGGCCATTGACGTCGAGTTGATGTTTTTGTGACACCGACCCTTTAGGCATACGTCACTTATATCTTGTCTGTTGCTTCATTTTGGGCTCGCGTTCTCTCTCATGGCATTGGCACTTTTCATGGAGAACCCCATCCCTCTCATCCCCCCCCCCCAATCTCCCCCACCTCTTCAAATTAAGAGTGTTTTTTATTCCTTTTATATAACGTTCCGTGTTCAACGAGACGGCGCTAAACGCCGAGGCGCTACGGCTCGGCGACACAGGCCCATGCGGCCATATGTGCTGCTGGGTGCCGCTGCCGCCGACTCGTCTCCACTCGGAGGTTATCCTTGCGCGCTGACCCCGCCGCCGGGCTGGGCTCTGCCGGGCCGCGCGGCGCGCCGAGCTATCGCCAGCGGGGCCGCGGCAGCGCTATCGATGGACGTGGAACATGGCTGGCATGTCGGAGCCCAGCCCCAGCCCCGGCCCGGCCGTCCCCACGCTGCTCAGCGCACGGCGACGTTAAGACCTCGGTATAGCTTTTTGTCTCCGGAGAAACACTAAAAGAAAGCGTGAGCATACATTAGCATGGGCATTGGCATTGTCAATGATGTGGCTGCTGCTGCTGGGGGGGGGGGGGCTAAGGGCCGTGTGTCTGAGGGAGATGCCATCAGGACAGGAGGCGGTGGCCCGCCGCAGGGCCGCCGAGGGGCCGCGCTGACTGACTGACTGACGGCGTATGGACTACCGTGCACGAGGCAACACAGGAGCCGCAGAGAGCGTTCCTCAGCAAAAGAAAAGATCGGAAGCATCGATTATCATATTATGCAGACCACATAGTTTGGCGGGCTAAAAGTAGAAGCAGAAAGGATGGAGTGGGGAGGGAGTACTGAAGTGTTGTTGAGTCGTTGTCGTTGAGTCCTGCTGGCTCTGGCGGGAAAACATGGTCTTCAATTTCTTTAATGTTCTCAGATTATTTCAGATTACCTATCGTGCTTGTATAGCTAAAGCGTTCCCTCGTCACAATGGAACTGTCCTCAAAACGGGCACAGTTGTCTAGAATAATATAGGATACAAGTAATTGAGAACATAGTGGTGTTGAGAACACTTGGCATAGCCATCCCAGAGCGCGCGCGCGCGCGCAGTGCCGCGGGACTTCCCCGCTAGCCTCGGCGGCGCTAGCCCCGGCCAGCCCGGTCCTCGGTAGGGTGTGATTTGTAGAGGCGGTGCGCGGCGGGCCG